CCCTGATGGTGGCGACCACCCCCTGTACTTAGCTGCTCGCTATGAAAGCAGGTAAGAAAGCAAGTGCGCAGTACACCTCCTCACGGAACGGACAACATGGAGGTCTCGCCTTGGATTTGTACCATCCTTAGTGCAATCTGAGTCGCGGGATGGTGAAGTGAGGAAGCCAATATATATTTACACAGGTGTATGTATGTATGTATATCGGTACTGAACGGCAGGACTGCTGCTTTGAGGCCATCCCAGCTAGGCCGGCCCAGACAGACCGTAAAAATCACAGTTCGTGGCGGCTCCGGCTTGAAGGGTTCCGTTCGATGGCAACACATCCTCCCCCTCCCTCGTGTTGCATTAAAACACATGCATGCTTACACACATATATACAATACACAATTACATACATACATACATACGAATTCCTCCTCTTACCGCAGCGGTATGTGTTACGCCTCGTGCGTGCAGGAGGTGGGCCTTGCTGGGGACGAAGAGGAGGAGGACATGGAGGAGGTGCGGTGGCCTGCCGGGGAAATGCGAGCGTATGGATGGTCGATAGCATCGTCAGCCGCAGACGCACATATAAATCATATAAAATATGTATATATACATGTATGTGTGTAATAGTAGAATAAAAATTGTATATACATACACACATTCCAAAGGTCAGGCCCTATTGGTAAGGCACACACTGATGCCCCCGGAGGTTCCGAAATCGAGACCTGTAAGGGTCAAAACCCTAGTTGATCGACGGTGGTGACCTGGGATAAAGTTAACGTGCGAGCTTACCGCTGTCGACCCGGCAGATTCCGTTGGATGCCGGTGGTGGGTGCTGAACCTGAGCAATTCACTGAGAAGTTGACTAGGGTGACTAGATGAGGGTGCCCCGAAATACCGGGGAAGGCAGGGTCTGCCGGGTCGCGGCCACAGGGTGAAGATATGACCCCCCTGTCCCACACATCACGCATTCCGAAGTCAAGGATTACTTGGCATGGTGACACCAAGGGGGCCGCACTTCTGCAAAACCCGCATCTCCATCTCCATTTTCCCCCCATTTTTGGAGTTTTTTTTGCATTTTCTGTTTTGCATTTTTTATAACCCAAAGTAGCCAAAAGAGTATTCTACAACGCACATCGCGTGACACACATCGCGTAGGAGCACCTCGATGATGCAGACAACATCGACGACGAGGAGGAGGACGACATCCTCACAGCAGGCACCGGCACTGACAACATGATGCAACAGCCATCGGCGTCGCAGCGGACAGGAAGCGAAGGCGGAGGCGGAGGCGGGGACGGAGGTCACCGTTATCGAGTCGCCTTCAGCCTGGATGACGACAGCTTCGAATAACGTTAATTAGCGCCGCCGCAAAACCTGACCAGACAGCTGCGATGTGACATTGCTGGCGCCTTCCAGGACGCGGGCCGCGTCGGGTTGAGCCTGCCTAGCTGCTGCTGCTTGCATACTTCTTGGCAGAATGTTGACTGATTCCTCCCTTCCATTTGCTGCCACCTCCCTGCCTGACTTCTGAGGACTTTGTCTCACGGCGTTCCCGTAGGGTAGCGCAGGGTGGGGTCCGGTCGGGGTGGGGAAGATGTCGATGCGGCGCGTTGGGTTTTGCTATAGCAGGGCGGGCAGGTCTGTATCGTGCCGACAGCAGCAGTAGCAGTAGCAACAGTAGCAGCAGCAGCTGCGGCAGCAGCAGCTACCGCTATGTGTTTTGGATGGTAGGGTGGGGGGGAATGTTAGGAGTGGGGGGGTGGATGGTGCACGTGGAAGTGGAAGGGGGGAGCCCCGGGGTGCGAGGGGCGCGGCTCTGGGGGCTGTCGTCGTCGTCGGCATGGGCTGCTGCAGCCGGATGGGTCACGTCGCCGCCGCGGCGGCATTCTCCCTAGGTGCGCTGTTGAGCGGCGAAAGCGGTTAGGGCCCGTGGTGGCGACCTCTTGCATGGATGTGCGGAAATGATGACGGGACAGCAGGATCCAGACAGGATCCATACAGGATCCAGATAGGATCCAGATAGGATCCAGATAGGATCCAACAGAAGGCGGACGACGGGACATGGGACCTCAATGGGCGAGGGATTCACAACAAGCACTACAAGTTATGACCGAGGCCGGGTGGGGTGAGAGTGGGTCAAGCGGGTCCGATGGATGCGCGATAGGAAAAGTCGGCGGGTTGTTGGATTTGAACTGAGGACCGAGGCCGGGTACCGGGTAGCAGTGGCGTCCACGACCTGACTGTTACAAAACTGTTTATTAAGTAGGATTATTGGTTGCGATTGGTTAGGATTTGAGCGCAACCTTTTCCTAGGGCAGTACTGTAAAAAACGACTTCGGGTGTGAGGGACTAGAGTGCGGAGCGGGGGTCCGCCGCGGCGCAGGCGACGATTTGCATTTCCGAGTCGGTTCGTTGGAGGGAACGTTACGCCTTTTCCTTTTGGTGACCTGGGAGACAGAAAAAAAAGGGAAAAGACAAAACACGTGCCGGGGTGGCTCCTGTGCGTGGGAGGGCCAGGGGCCAAGAGAGGGTTAGAGGGTGCCGGGAGGAGCAGGCCAGGCTGCCAGGTTCGCTTGGACGCAGTGCGCTGGGCTCGAGGATTGCGGCGTGGTTTTTGTTATGTGGGGCTCATGTGCTACGGATGTGGGAATGAAATATTGGGCTTGGAGTTGGAGTTTGCGGGTGACTATTACAAGTTCCTGGGTTGGAGGAGAGCATGGATCTAGTCGGCTGCTTTTGTTGAGTGGTGTGTGTATGGAGGCCCGTGCGGCGTGTGTGGGATTGGATTGGGGTTCGGTCCTGTCCTGTCCTGTCCCTCGGCTGGCCTCCCTGGCTGGCCTGCCTATGCGTGGGTGGCTTTGTGCTTCTGGGTGGGCGAAAAATGTGGAGTTGGGAAAAAAAGTGGATAAAGATGTTTCAAGCAGGGAGCCTTCTGGGAGGGGAAGCAAGCGGAGGGACATAACCATGACGTAAGGCGACGACGGCGACGAGGATGCCCATCCTCGCAGGTACCCAAGGTTGTGTATTCCGGTGCATGTGCTGCATGCGCGTTGCGTGGTACTGTTGGCCATTACTACCGGGACTACGCAACCGCTTTAGAGGCGGCATTTCGGTGTCTGAAGAGTAGCTGCGGGGACTACCATCTATCTATCGATTTGGTGAGCGCCAAAGCAACGGCGCCGCAGCAGCAACGGCGCGACACCAACCTACCCCTCCCACTCAAAATTGCCTACAGAACTGAAACCGTTGGGGAGTTCAGAGCCTGAAACGATCACCCATGGAATGGATAGAGGATACCAAGGACTATTTATGATGTCATCGGTTTGTCGTGTTTTCAGTTTACACTCGCGGGTTTCTTCTGAAGTTGTTAATAGGAATGCACGAGTGCACATACATACATACAAAATGACGGACATCCGGTGCGGGGGGACGCATGTTTGCTGCTGACCAGTACGGCCGGTACGACAGGTAAGATTATCATGTCCTAAGAAAACGTCATCTGACCTTTCTTTTGGACAGCTGTAACGGTTTATGAAATTTATTTACAGTATTAGCACAATGCGTCAATATGCCCATCCTGTACATACTTCGTACAGCATGTACAAAAGGCAGGGATGTTGTAAGCAGGATACGCGGCCAGCATTGCAGCTGATGCTTATGCCGCCGCTGCTGTCGCCTGTTTCCGAGCACAGCTGCCGCTGTACTGTACTGGTGGCCATGTGCCGCGGTAGCAGCAGCAGTAGCAGCAGCAGTAATAGTAACAGCAGCAGCAGCAGTCAGCAGCAGCAGCAGAAGTAGCAAAAGCAGCAGCTGGCCCAGAATTGTTCGGTTCCATGCTGGGAATTTGGCGGAGGAAAGTCGCATCAGGAAAAAATGTCTGCGGCGCGGGACGGGGACCAGGCCATGTGTGTAACATCCGGCAAGGCCAAAAGGAGAGGGAGGCTGCACGTCCTCTGTGATCCCGATTGATATTAGTGCCAGACAAGACGACGATGGAAAGTCGAAGGAACATTGCAGTGACGTGGTAGAGGAGTGGTGCGCGAGGCAGGGCTTCAAGGACTCCGGCTGAATATTGCACCTTGGTTAGAGGGACAGCGAGGGCGCGAAGCCACTGAAGGTGTCAAGATCACGCCAGGCATCTTCGAATAGCTGGAGCTGACGCCAGAACGCATTTAGCCACGCCATCAAGTCATGCAGTTCATGACATTACAAAGAACCGGCACCTTGAACGGCGGAAGATCAAAAAGCGGATTTTCGTTAGCCGTTTGCTTCCTAGAAAAATATGTTCGGGAATCCAGCAGTTGTATCGTTGTTGGCTGACTAAGGTGAAGGGACGTAGTCAGAACTCAGGAGTCAGTGCTAGGCATATAGTCATCTTATGTTAAGGTTACTCTCCTTAACATTAAGTTGTGCTATATTAAGTGCATGACATAGAACTGCAGACTGATGAGGTAGGATTAGTAAACAGGTGCAAGGCGCAAATGAGTTCATGCAATGATCTGCAAATGATATTCTTTCGGGAAAGAATTTACATATCAATCATGACTCGACGGTCAGGGTCATTTTATTGTAATGCGTGCAGTCGTGTCAGTGGCCATCAGTGCCTCGAAGCCAGTACTGTTCATTTGCAACAAAGTATCGGAATCACGAATCATCGTATTGTCTGAGGAAATACCTGTAACAATAACAAAAAACATACGCAGCTTCTTTGCTTTTTATAAAACCGGAACAATTGTGCCACCTTAACATCAATTAGCGGACTGAAAATATAACATTTAACTTTAAAATCCTCTTGCGCTGGCGTGTTAGGCGTGCTTGGCGGTATGGGGGCTGGGCCTGGCCTCGCTCGGATCCCGTCCCTGTCAGCGCTGTGCTTACTTCTCTGTGCAGCTGCAGCTCAAAAAGGCCCTCTACTAACCTATCCTCAGTTCAGCTTCCTGAAATCTACAGCTCAGGAATCGACAACAGATCGCATCCCGCAAATCAGGTCCTTTCCGGACCTAAGCCCTCCGCGCCCACCACCACCACGGATTCCCCGTCCGCCTAGCCCCCGGCCGCCTCGTCCGTCACCACGACCCCCTCCACGGACCCCGCCCGCCCCTCCACCTCCTCTCCCCCCTCTGCCACCACTCCCTCCCAGCCCGCCACCTCCATACCCCCCAGAAGAACTTGTGGTGAGAGGAGACGCCACTGCAGCGCCCGTCAGCACGCTGTTTGAGGTTTTCATCAGCTGTAGAGGATACATCCATTTTATGTAATGTGCTTGACTCCCATCCCCCTATGTCGCGAAAGGGTTCGTGTCTGTCTGATCCCGAGTTACACTCTTCCCCTGTGTACTGAAGGGGCCCTCTGGTCCGCGTGTCTGTCTGTACCTATATCACTGTCTTCTGGCACCACCTGCACACCGATATGCTGTCCAGATGCGTTTCCGCTCTGTAAGGGGCTTCTTCGCTTGATAGCAACAAACAGCGCGATACCTCGTTTTCAGACATGTACCAACAGGTGGTAGGAAGTGGCGGCATCAAGTCGTACACTCCTCCTCCTCCTCCTCGTCATCCCGATACACTTACTCCCCCGGGGCCGCCGCCCCCGACCCCCGCAGGTGACTTCCCCGCCGTTCCCCTGCGCCTGGGTGACTGTGCCCGGAACGGACTTCCGCACCCGGCGCTTCCTGTTTCCACCCCCCCTGGACCCGCAGCTGCTCGCCGCCACCGACCCCACCGCCGCCCCTCTGAGCTTCGGATACACCGTCGAGGTGAGGACGCCGCGAAAGGGCTTTGGTTACGTTGTTAGTTCTGCTGCAGTGGAGCCTCCTGAGGTGTTGTGAAGCCTCCTAACTGCGGATGATGTAATTTCGACGGCAGCTCACGACAGTTTTGTAGGTGTATTTATTATTTTTATTTTCATTTGTTACAGAGTGGGAGGCTTCTGGGCCGCTTGGACACATGGTCGTGGGTGCCGTACAACCCGTACCTGCAACCCCACCTCCGATACCTGTCGTGCCGTTAGCCTCCAATCCCCCTCGGCCCGCGCTGTGCGCTGCTCCGGCCCCAGGTCACAGACGGGGCTGCGGGCGCGACAACGACACGCCCCGTCGTCATCTGTTCCTCCCCCGAGCCGTGCACCAGACCACTTGAAGCCGAGTCGGCTGCCGAGGACGAGGGCGAGGAGAACGAGGGCGAGGAGAACGAGGAGGAGGTGGCGCGTGCTGGCGCCGCCGTGCTCAACATGGTGGCACTCAACGACCGCGCGGCCTTTGCAAGCACCAACAGCAGGGTGCAGCTGCCGAGTACGAACTACCCCGAGGGCGTGTTCGTACTTGCCAGCTCGGACGGCAGCGGTCAGAGGTACACCGTTGAGGTGTGTAAATCGGGATCGGTGGTTAGTGGCCATTGATGTTTGGTGGCGGTCAGCAGCTGAGGGAGGTGGGGGGGCTTCTTAGACTCGAAGAAGTGAGGAGGGGAGGTGTACAGTACCGTACAGTGCGGACGCAGCATGCTTGTATCTGTCAAGCAATGGCGTCTGGTACGGTCAAATGCATGTTTGATTCCTCCGATTCCATTTTTGCAACCGGCAACAGACTGGTATTTCTTCGTCGCCCACCCCGCAATGAATGCAGCACGATGAATGTGTATATGGTAAATTGTGGTCCGGCTGTGTTTTTTTTTTAATTTTGTCGCATCGTCCTTCGGCGCATGCGGCCATGTGCGTGCCATTATATTATTTTATGCTATGGTTAGTGGATCAGTGGTTAGTGGTTCACAACGCGGGGTCCACATAAACATGAAATCACTTTTTGTTATGGGTCTCAGCAGTTATCCGCCAACCGACAACCACCAACCGCCAACCGCAAAGCAATGTCATGGCTCGCCACTCGCTACCATGCCCCGCTGCGAAGGTGTGCACCGTCGCTTCCCCGCCGGCGGCCGTCGCGTGCGCGGAGTCCTTCGGGGTTCTGTCCGTACTGCGCCCGGCGGACGCATGGCCCTCAGAAGCTGACAACCTTAAAAATGTGACGTATTCCGCCACCCACTGGTCATCTAAAGCCGCCCAGCGCGCCGCCGCGGCGTCCGACTCGCCCGCTGCCGTACTTACTTCGACATGTGCGCCGCCGCCGGGGATCGACTTTCGACGGAAAGTTGTATTTTCGTGGGGTTGGGACTTCGACGGCTTACCTCCCTCCCTGGCGCCGACCGGCTTCGTGGCCGTGTACCGCCGCTACCCGTTCGACCACATGGCACCCGGCAGCTACGGCCTCCAGTTCGCGAAACACGACAATGTACGGCTGGCGGTCATTGTGAGGTTCACGGATGCGAACCCCGATGTCGCTGGGACGCCGGCGGCGGTGCGGGAGGTGGTGGCGGCGGCCGAGAACGCCAGCTTGTCCATACCCGGCGGCAGGGTCAGCGACATCACGTTTGTGTACTTCGTCCCACCGCTGAAGCTGCTGAGCAACATCACCAAGATGAGCGCCTCCGTCACCATGACCTGGCGGCCGTCGCCGCCGTCGCCGCCGCCGTCACCGCCGTCGCCACCATCGCCACCGCCTGCACCACCACCGCCCTCTCCAACACCGCCATCCCCCTCCCCGCCACCGCCCCCCTCGCCGCCGCCGAGACCACCCCAGCCCCCGTCACCGCCCCCGTCGCCGCCGTCACCGCCGTCGCCGCCACCATCCCGGCTGCCGTCGCTGCCGCAATCACATTGCGTTCGAGTGAATCAGCAGTCCGCCCCACAACAACTTCTTGGGTCCTCTGCAACGCTGAGGGGCGTTTCCAGAAGTCTTGTTGCGCTGCTGGCTGCGGCTTTTGGTACCCTAATGCTGTTAGCTTAGACCCTGAGTTGAAAATTACAGGGCACGCTGCAGTTCTGGCGTCTCTCGCGCTCGCTTTCTTGCTTCTTTTTCTCTTTTTCCTTACCTTCCTCTCCTTTATGGTTCTTACAGATGGCTCATCTAAGGCATTTACAGTGCGATCAGGGTTATTCTGCACAAATCACATGTTATTATTACGCACGCATATTTCGCCTTGACGATGTGGAGCAATGCAATAATGAGGTAGAAACGTGAAAACTGTGGGCCTTGGAGGCGTTGGTTGGTTGGTTCGGACGGGCATTAGGCAATGCTTTTCGAGGATGGGCTGGGATTGCGGGGGAAGTGCGTAATAATGCGGTACGGCTGTTCGGATCACGTGACATCTCTTGCCGTGCCGACCTGGCCTCCCATATGATTTCCCTTTCCCTGACACCGACTGTTGAAATCTGATGGATGTCTACCAGATAACTGCTCGGTGATTTAGGTGGCAGATAGAAGCAAAGGACGAAATGCCTCCTGTAAGCAATCAATGATATCACGCATAGCACGTCGAGGAAATAATGACATGCATCCGGATATCCAGTTTCCCAAAATTTTATTATTTCCAAGTATACGGGGCCGAGCAGGAGAAGGTTAAGCATCGGCTAAGCAACGGCTCTCACAAGGGAATTGCTCGTCTGCCTATGGCCATGTCGGCCGGGCCCTTCGTTACACTCTGGAGGTTATATTGAGATTCGGTACTAGTAGGCTTGGAGCCATGTGCCGCATCATAGCTTCCAAACCGGCCCGAGGCACCCGCAGCAAAGAAGTGAAGTCATGGACAGCTCCGCTGCCCTTTCGAAAATTATCAAAGATTAACTGATCTTCGTGACTTTCCGTAAAGCTTGCCCCATTAATAAGGGCGGCACAAGCAAGGGATGCGCAGATTCTGAGGCATGTACGTGATTCTGAGGCATTAGTAAAGTGATGCTCTTTGGTTTAGGACCGAATCGGTGCGTTTCCTAGGGACCCATCTGCGATATCAGGACTGAGAATAGACATGAGTCCTGGCTTCCGTGCCGCGTACGCCTTGTCCGCCGTTGTACCACGTTGCACGCCTTGATCTGCAAACGATCTGAACCTGGAACGAAATTTAGAAGACATGTGTTAGCATAGCACGTGCAGCATGACAATTTTTACGATCTTTAGTACATGGCATGGCAATTGATTATCCGAAGAGTCACTTGCACCGGTGCGTCTTGTCACTGCCGTTCCGTTGATGTCAGTTGCCTGTCACATCTCGACGAGACGGGCTCTTCACCTAACAAGCAGCTGCATGGTCATGTGTACAACTTAAGCACTATGGACAACAAAGTTACGGAACACTGTCATCGTTCCTTGTTAACCAAGTTATCAGCTGCAGAAAGCCGGCCTTGCGGCTTCTCGGCTCAGCTAAAAATGCTCTCACTTTATCTGTTTCTAAAAATTCCATAGATTGGGCTTAAACCCAGATCATCCACATGCTCCACAGCATGATAGCTTGTCGAATATGCCTCACAGCGATCATCGCGCTGATGGCGCGTTGCCATCCGTTTCCCACTGCCGCAGCCGCAAAGGAACTGCGAGCTACAACCATTGTAGATCTGGACTCATTTATTGCCCTGGACGGACGCAGCCTTCTCGCATCAGATGTTCTGCCAGACCTGTTCCCCCCTACTGACATTCCTTCGTCTCCCTCAGCCCCACCAAAACGCCGAAAAAGCTCGCCGCCTCCGCCTTTGCCTCCATTCCAGCCACCACCTAGCTCGCCATCATTTCCGGCAATCCCTGCGAAAAAGCGAAAGACACCGCCTCCTCCTCCGCCTCCTCCGCCGCCTGCTCCGTCACCACCTCCGCCTCCGGCTCCGGCTCCACCTGGCATACCTTTCTCGCCTACAACCCCTTTAAGAAAGCGAAAGGCACCGCCTCCGCCTCCGCCTGAAACCCCCGCGTCATCTCCACCCCCGGCGCTGAAGAAGCGGAAGACACCGCCGCCACCTGCACCTGCTCGGCCGCCACCTCACATTCCTCCGTCACTGCCCGTTTGGCCCCTTCGCCCGCCGTCCCCACGGCCGCCCCGGTCACCCAGACCGCCACCGCCGTTTCCGCCTTCAGAGCTCTCGGTGAGATACACTGCCGCCATCTGGGGTCTGAGTTTACATGGGTTCACATCAGATTGCATGAGAGCAGCGTGAAGGTCACTGAAGGTGTTCTTTTGAAGTCATGTAGTATGTAAGGTCGTGTAGGAAGCGCGTCAGCTTGGGTTTCCAAAGTACCGCAGCCAGGGCCGTACACAGCCAGGGCCGTACATAGCAAGGGCCGTCCGCAGCCAGGGTTGTACGCAGCCAGGGCTGTACGCAGCCAGGGCCGTACATAGCAAGGGCCGTCCGCAGCCAGGGTTGTACGCAGCCAGGGCTGTACGCAGCCAGGGCCGTACACAGCCAGGGCCGTACACAGCCAGGGCCGTCCGCAGCCAGGGCCGTACACAGCCAGGGCCGTACACAGCCAGGGCCGTCCGCAGCCAGGGCCGTACACAGCCAGGGCCAACGATGCGGAAAGGCAGGGGAAGGAAAGGGGAGGGAAGGGAAGCGACATGCACCATGTACAGCTATGTATGTGTCAGCGCGCGCTGAGGGGGACTTTTGCAGCCATTCGTTGTTCCACCGCGTCATCAGGCTACCGGGCCGCTATGGTGGGGTGGGAAGGTGTTTCCTCTCCCCTCGTTTCGGCACTTTCTGCAATTTTGACCGATGGACCCGCGGCACTATTGGTTCAGCCTCGCCCGCGTATTTAAAGATCCTTTCCACCATATGGTGGGATGCTTCTTTTTGGGTTTTCTGGTCTGCTTATCTGCCCACGTTTCGTCGCCTGTCTGTATGTCTGTCTGTCTGTTATGTGTCAACCTACACGGCTTGCGGCCGCCCCCGACCCCCGCAGGTGACTTCCCCGCCGTTCCCCTGCGCCTGGGTGACTGTGCCCGGAACGGACTTCCGCACCCGGCGCTTCCTGTTTCCACCCCCCCTGGACCCGCAGCTGCTCGCCGCCGCCGACCCCACCGCCGCCGCCGCCGCCCCCCTGAGCTTCGGATACACCGTCGAGGTAGGTACGGCAAGGTACGACAAACTTGCGACGTTCTGTAAAACTTACAGATGTCCTTATGTAAAACTTACAGATGTCCCTGATGTCATCATCAATAAGGGAAATAGAAACTTACAGTTCTGGCACAGCATAGGATTTGCAAGGATCTATTTCCCTTGCAATTCCTGCTTGTTCCCTCCAGCTTGTTTCACTCTGCACGTCCGCAACTGCACCGGCGAGCTCTCAACCAATTAAACTCCCTGGAGAGAACTCGACACCCTGCAGTCCTCCATATTGTCAATTTGTCTTCTGCTTCTTCCAGCTGGCGGCCTGCGGACCCCTGCGAACTGCGCTTGGCCGCAGGTCAGTGGCGCGCCGCCACCACAGGCACCACTAGTGGCCATCTGCACATCTCCCGCCGAGCCCTGCAACAGACCGCCGCAGGACACGCACCCCGGGCCGCCTGCAGCCCCCCCCGGACGAATTACAGCCTCCACAACTACAGCTCCACCCGGTACCCAGCAGTCCTTCTGGTCCGGAAGGCGCCGATGGCACCTGCAGAGCGGGGACTATCCGGACGGCGTGTTCGTGACCACCACCGCCAGCGTAACGGGAGCCGGGAAAAGCTACTCTATTGAGGTACGACAACTGTACGGCAACTGTACAGCAATCTTGAAAAACGACGATCAAGACGCATTGCATGAACTTAGGGTGAACCCTCTCCTTCTTGTTGTCTTGTTGTTTTGTTGTTTTTGTCCTTTGTTGTTTCCATGTTTCCGTTGTGGTGTTGTGAGGGGTACTGCTGTACTGCTGTAGGTTGCTGAAGGTTGGGGATGAGAATGGTTGACCTAACATACACAGCCCTTTGCCTGCCCAGCTCGCGGCTCTCCTCCTCCCAATCTTGCGGCCTTCCTCACACAAATGATGCTGCTTCCAGGTTTGTACGGTTCTCACCCTGGAGCCGGCGGCCTGCACCGATTTGTACGGCGTCATTTCCGTACTGCGTCCCGCAGATGCATGGCCTTCCGAAGCCGACCTGTATTTGTACGAGTATGGTGCAGTGAACTCCTCCATGCGCTGGTCCGCGGATAGTGTACAGCGCGCCGCCGCGGCGTCCGACTCGCCCGCTGCCGTACTTACTTCGACATGTGCGCCGCCGCCGGGTATCGACTTTCGACGGAAAGTTGTATTTTCTTGGGGTTGGGACTTCGACGGCTTACCTCCCTCCCTGGCGCCGACCGGCTTCGTGGCCGTGTACCGCCGCTACCCGTTCGACCACATGGCGCCCGGCAGCTACGGCCTCCAGTTCGCGAAACACGACAATGTACGGCTGGCGGTCATTGTGAGGTTCACGGATGCGAACCCCGATGTCGCTGGGACGCCGGCGGCGGTGCGGGAGGTGGTGGCGGCGGCCGAGAATGCCAGCTTGTCCATACCCGGCGGCAGGGTCAGCGACATCACGTTTGTGTTCAGAGTGCCTCCGCTAAGCCAGCTAAGCCATGTCGCACAAATGAGCGCGGCTGTGAAGTTATCCTGGCGTCTCGCGCCGCCGTCGCCGCCTCCGGCGCCCCCGCCCCCATCGCCATCGCCGCCACGCCCGCCGACACCGCCGTCGCCGTCGCCGCCGCCACGGCCGCCGAGGCCGCCGAGGCCTCCGTCGCGCCCACCTGCACCTCCTGAACCGCCGGCGCCCCCGCCAGCGCCGCCACCCATGCCTCCGGAGCCGCCATGCCTCGACACAAACGAACAATTTAGTTTTCAACCCGCAGCGGGGTCGGCTGATTCTGTGGGTAGTTTGTCCAATGGATTGACTGTGCTCATAGCTGCCTTTCTGGGATATGCCTTTCTCTTGATTGCCGTATGATAGTTTGAAGGATGCATACCTTTGTGATTATATATTGTTATTATTAAGCATGTATTTTTTATATTTACCGAAATGGGAACAGAGCGCTTTGTTTCAGGTAGTCCGAATTTACCAGTAGCGTGCACGAGCAATGACTGTGAAAATGGATTGTACTTACTCAAGTCATAGTCGTAATCGTGAACCTTGTCAAACGTAGATATGTTACGACGTTTAGCTTTGTGTAATCATGCAATCGTATGTATATGGAGATCGTGCATAAGCGTTGTTATGATAAAGGCGGTACATGGTCATTTGCAACAGGTGTGGGTGAGCAGGGCGCGCATCTCTTGCCAGGTTGGCGTTCTTAAGTTGTTTCTATTTGAGAAGGTCCTCATGGACTCAGTTGATCTCACTTTTTTCCGAGTCACAGCAAAAGCCAACTACAGCTTTTGTACTGTTTAAGTTAGGACCGGACATCGTCAACCGCTGACAATAGCTGAACACCCAGAAAAATGGCACTGACACCAAAAACCCGGGACAGTTGAAGATTATCTCGTAAACCATGTTTCTGCGAACTTTCGCATTTGTGCATTATCGCGATTTCGGTAAAAGCGTCCTTTTCACCCGCCATCCATGGGGCGCTCGGACATTGCCACCAAAGTACAGAAATTCTCTGCATGCTTCAAAAGTTTGACAATTTATGCTGCAGCGATATTTTTTAGGAATGGGGATTAGGATTTTGGGAAAAGCCTGGCGACGTGGAAACCATCGCGCACAGCGAGCGTCTATCATCGCCCAATTCGCGTTTTGCGAGCATTTATTATCGAGCTTCGCAAATGGAATGCACAGACGATAAACGCTTCCTGCAGGAATTCATGGCTTGATGACAGTGATCACCTGAAAATTAGACGCAGATGGGATGTATGCTCGTGCATCGACACCCAACGTACCCTTGCCGCGATTCCTTGCAGCAATAATATCGCCCGAATTCGGCTCGCAAGCCTCTGGCATGCTGCTGCGTGTCCCTGAGTCCCGGCTTTCTTATCAGTTCCTACCTGGTCCAAAGCTTGACGCATGTGCATGAATGGCTGGCCGTTTCCCCGAAGCAACTTAATCAAGTGGTGGTACGCTGGACCCAAGTCGTGTTAGGTAGACATAAGACAGGTGCTAGTGGGCTCTCAACGTTAAAACGAAGTCATTGGGGTACCGGAATGATACGAATGCAGTCGAATTGGTGCATCACAAACTACTCAATTACCCCCAACCTCAAGACTTGGATACTGAGCCGCACTGAAGCTCCTAAGCTGAGTGAACAGGGGTTGATTATCTTATAGGCAGCCATGAACCGCTTGCACAGCTTGGTGAGGCTTGGATTACGCTGGGTTGTGCAGGAATGCGCGCGCCGCGTCGGTTCGTCCGCAAAGACCAGCGGCGACCAAGAGGGAGTGAGTACCCGTAAATTTTGTGAAAGAGTACGTTTTTTCCCCCACAGGTACCATGAAGTCAGATAGTCATACAACCATGTAACAAACGAGCAAGTAAAGTTGTAACTCTGTACTTCCCCCGTATCCATATGCAAACCTTACCACCTCGTGGCCGTCAGTTCCTGCATAATAGCTTGTGATAATATATTATGCACGTTATATAATCCTGGCCGCATGATTTCAGACTTCCGATGACCGTATCAAATTTTCTGGTAGAAACAAGTTACCGTCTGCCCATCATGCATAACAGCATCGTGATACTTAAATTTTCTTATCCTTATGTACGGAGTTAATAGGAAGGAATACGTTGGGGGTACCTAAGGTTGGCCTCGTTTTCAATCGTGAACAATATGAGCCGCTCGTATGCAATAGTTGGATAGAATAATGCGAATCCTGAATTGCTGCTTTCGGCCACTGCGCACGGAGCCTGGCCTTGACGGGAACAACTCTTCCGAATGCGATGCCCATGAGTTGGAGAAGGAGGTATCTGTTGCGCAAAGAAACAATTTCTCAAGTGAAAAGTCCAGGTATAAGGATGAAGCCTTGCATCAACAGGTGAGTTTCTAGATCACTGCGTACCCTGTATTTGCTCTCACGCGTTCCGGGCAAACGCTGCAACGCCTTGCCCCGGCAGGTATCGCTAGCACATGCGCAGCGCGTTATATCTGCAATTGCGGGGGCATGTGAGGAGGCGTGGCTCTGCCGTATCGACGCGGCCTTGGCCGTCGTGCAGGAGCACTTCGACGCCGAAAGCGTCAGGTGGGCAGGCAAGCCCGACAACCCAACCGCGCTGCCACAGCACCTCCCAGCCGCAATGTCATTCCCTCAGCCATCCGCGTGCAGCATAGCATATCCGCAAACCGGCCTTCGCCGGCCCCCCTTGAATGCCAACCGGATTCACATGGGCCGAGTTCACTATCTCTACTTTCCCACCTTCCGCCTTCCCTGCCTCCTCGCGCTACCCGCGTCCCTTACGCCCTTCCCTCCACCCATACACACACACGGCCCGATCTGGGTCGCAGTCTCCATGCGGTGTACGACGGTGGGCTGTCGTTCGCCACGTTGTCCGCTTGCGGCATTGGCGCAGAGGATCTCCCTCGAGGGTTGCCGTACAGCCTAACCCAGGATCTCACCAGCAGCGTGGCGGTGTTGCTGGCAAACCAGGTACGTGCGTGAACGTGTGTGTGTGTGTATGTATGTATGCATGTATGTATGTAATGGTCGTCGGTGGCGCGTGTATGTCCCGTACCTACTGCCTACCACCAAAATGCGGCACCCCTCCGAGCGCCGCATCCATCTTTACGACCTCCGCTCGACGACCCTCCTCGTCCCTGCCTGTCTGCCCGCTTTGCCTGCCCCTGCTGTGTATCCGCCCGCCTTATGTGTAACCCATCGCCCTCCCTTTCACCGCCCTCCCACTGCGCCCTGCCGGCGTCCACTTCCCTCCACCCGGCTGCTTGCCTGGGTGGGTCCGCTGGCCCGACCCAACTGACCCACGGGTCACAACTTGGTAATTTTCTCATTGGGGTCCGTCGTGGTCAACTTGTGGATCGCGCTGCGGCTCTCGTCACGATATGGCTGATGCACGCACACACACACACACACACACACACGCACACACACACACGCACACACATACATACATAGACGCGATCCTGCGGCTCGTCCGCCGCATCCGCCGCCACCATCATCCGTGCGTCCACTCCTCCCGCCAGCCCCTCCGCCGCTGCCCTGCCCGGCACCCTGGACTGCCTGCCGTCTGACTGGCAGCGTCTGAATGACCGGCACGGGTTGCGGCACTTCATTTCGGCCCCCCTGCTCGGCGGGGACCTGGTGGTGGGGGCACTGACGTTGGCGTCCAGGCGAGGTGAGATGAGATGAGAGCTGCAGTCCGTGGACCACGCGGTGAAATGGTGGAAGGCGGAAGGAGATGAGAGGGGATTGCTGCAGTGGACCCCGATTGGGTTGAGTGCAGGACGACACCTCCCCCGCGATGATGAGATGGGGCGGGGCGGGGTCGAACTGACGATGTCAAAGCCGCAGACTGCTGGGTGGGGTTAGGGAAATGTGTGCAGACAAATACTACATGTATGCAGGTATATATATAATGGCTGGGGCGTGGGTAGTAGTGGAGTTTAATACCTTACGGGGTGTTTTGAAAACTGAGGGTTGTGTGCGTGTGTCTGTCTGTCTGTCTGCCTGTCTGTCTGCCTACATGGTCTTTTGTTTGTCTGTTCGTGTTTTTTCAGTCGGCTGTGTTTTCCAGCTACGTCCCATCCCACCCCACGTACATTGGTCCCCGTGTTCACATCTTCCCTCCCTCCCCCCTCCCCACATGCACACATACATACATACACGAGCACGGCCAGGTTCTCTGCCCCCCCCTAGTTGGCAATCCGGTACACTGGCGCTGGTGGCCGCAACCCTGTGCCTGCTGCTGCAACAACGGCAGCTGTCCATAGCCACAAGCATCATGACGGAAATACATCTGTCAAGGAATATTGATGAGCTTGTACGGGCTGTACGGCGCGGCGTGTACGACATGGTGGTGGCGACGACGCACCTGCCGCCGGTGCTACGACTGGCGCTCATCCGGACGGTACGACAAAGCGCTTGGGAGAAGGGACCAGCATTGGGATTTTTTTGGATTAATAGAGCAGCAAATACACCTTCCTTGTCGAGAGATGCGTTCATGTACGGTGGGAATGGAATGGATGGGGATACCATTCGATACATACATACATACATACATACATACATACATACATACATACATACATACATACATACATACATACATACATATGTGCCCTGTACAGGATGGCTCCGCGGCGGCTGTGTTTGAGGAGCAGCCGCAACGGCGTAGCAGCTTCACTCGGCTGTCGGTTTGCTCCGAAGCCGCCGCTCCCGCCGCCCCTGCCGGCGTGCCCGAGATGCTGCTGCCCGGCACTTCCCGTCGCTCGATTGACGTGGCCGCTGGCCGCATCAGCGCCAATCAGCTGCTGGGCCAGGTGCGGGGGTTAACGACTAACTGCCACCTGCAGGGCGCCGTACGTATGCGAATACGGCCGTACGTATACGACTACGACTCCAACTCTCCCTCCCCCCATACACACCGCTTCCGGGCTACCCCCATACACGGCTCCACTCATCAGTGGTTCGTGTTATCCCTCCCCCCTTACACACCACCGCACTTCCCTGCACCGCACCGCACCGCCAACACACGCACACACACACACATACACACACATACAAGTTCAAAACGCAGACACATAAATAAACAAAAACACATGCACCTGCATGCCCCAAATAGCGATGCGGGAGCGGCTTTCATGGTTCCCAAACCCGACCTACGCCCCACACACCGGCCCGCCCTCCTCCTTCCTCCTCTTCCCTCCCCCTTCCCCCCTGGCAGCAGCAGCTTCACTCGTTCGTGGTTCGTCTTTCCCCCCCCCCCCCACACACACACATACACCTCACGCACCACCACACACACCACACTGACACATCACCACCCGGAACTGAGCCACACATCCCTCACATCCCTCACACCTCCCCCGCAGCTCACACGTGACCGGCTGACCGGCAACAACCCCCAGCTGGGGGGTGAGCCCCAGGCGTCGCCTCCCCACGTGGTTCGTGCGGCCGTCACACCCAGCGAGTCTACGTGTGGAGGTAAGAGCTGCGGGGCCGTGGGGGATCAGTAGAGGTGTGTAGGGTTATTGGGGCCCCCAATTCGGGGTTTTCTTTACAGGCGGTCAGGTCAGGCCCGGAGTCTCTCCAGCTGGCTGAGAATCTCTCAATCCTTTGTTGCCGCTGGGCCGCTGGGCGGCTGGAGGTCTCCTCTGGAGCAGCTTGTCATCGCTTGTATGCGCCGGGTGTTGTCCACTTGCTGTTCCTTTTCCTTTACAACGCGCGTGAAGCATTTCTGTGCCCAAAGAGCCCGCCGCCGCCGCAGCAGCAGCAGCAGCAGCAGCAGCAGCAGCCGCCACGGCCTCGTCTCTCTCATCTGTAGGAAGTGAAGCTCTTCCGAAGGATGACGTGTCAGGACTTGGCGCTGTCAAACCAACCCGATTAAGCACCACCACAACCACCACAACAACAACCTCAACAGCAACCGTAACCCCAACCCCAACCCCAACGGGCAGTTTGCCCGGTTGGGCGTCGGCAGTCGCTCTGTTGCCTTTCTTGCGTGTGATGTCCACGTTCCCTCCCCTTACGTTCCCTCCCCACCTCCCCCACTGAAACGTACGGCAGGTCGGCCCAGATCCTTCATGCTGCCGGCGGATGCAGCGCCGGCGGCGGCCGCAGCGCCGGCGGCCGGAGTGGCCTCTGATCAGTCTCTGGATCGCGGCTGGGTACCTGGGGCTTCACAGGAGCGGCTTACGGTTCCGGCGGCGGCGGCGGCGGCGGCAGCGGCGGTGGAGGCGGCGGCGGCGGCGGGCTGTGGTATTGGGACTGGGTGTGGCGTTGCCTCGCTTGCCACGACCAATATCCCACGGACCTCGGGGGTTGGGCCTGTGCCAACAACGACACCAACAACCACGGCGGCAATGGCGGCGGTGGCGGCAGCGGTGGCGGCGGTTCCAGCAGGCGCAACCGGCAGCGCGAATGCGGCAATGCAAAACAGCTGTCATGCCCTCAAGGACGGGGCAGCATGCAGCAACAACAACAACAACAACAACAGCAATACCCATAACAACAACATAAACAACAATAATGTACATAATAATAACAACAACAGCAACAACAGCACCCAAATTAATTGCAATAAGGCGAGTTGCCTGTGTGTGTGCGTATGTGTGTGAAGGTTACAAGTATCTCACCGGGCCTGACACTGGCCATGGCTGCTGCTCAACGGAAAGACCGCCTAAGAGCTCTCTCTCCCGCGGACGGGAAAGGGGCGCGAGGGGGGCCTCTGCCCCCCCCCTTCCTAAGCACCCGTGAGCCGCAGATCCGCTAGCTCCGCTCTCCTCCCCCCGGAGGGGGGGATGAAGAGGAGGCGTCGCACGCGCGCACACTCCCACGAGCCAAGAGGCTCCGTCACGTGTGTGTGTATGTGTGTCTGTCTTTGTATGTGTGTGTATGTCTATGTTCTGTCTTTGTGTATATCTGTGTGTGTGTCTGTTTGTGTATTTGGATGTGTTGTAAATGATCTGAGCCGCGAAATGATGAGGATAGGTTGTACGAGAGTAATTTGACTGAGTGCCACCGAGATTGGAATCTCAATTCCGATCCAGGTTCTCCTTCCGATCTCTCTCTCTCCCTCCCCCCCTTCCCGCCGTGGCTTCCCCACACTGTTCACTGGTTCTCTGACCTTTTCCCCTTCCCCGGCCCTAAATAACCCTGGTCCTACGCCTGGTTGCGGTTGTGGTGCTGGTTGTGGTGTTGGGTTCAGAGCGGTGCCCGGGGACACAGCCTATCCTTGAGTAACACGCTGTTGGGGGAAGCCCTCCAGAAGGACTGCGGGCTGTGGATCTCCGACTGCACCTTGTACCTGCAGGTGGGCCGGAGGGGCCGGGGGGGGGGAAGACGAAGAACCACGTGAACGAGTGGTTCGGGAGGAGGGGGAGGAGGAGGAGGAGGGAGAAACGAACGAGTTAAGCTGCTGCCAAAGAAAGAGTGCACAAGCAAGAAGCAGAACTGACCAGTAGGCGGTTTTTAGAAGGAGGCGATCTAACGGGGTGGGGGGAGAGGATCATGTGTGGGGGTGGGGAGCTGCTAGAGGTAGAGCTGGCGCTAGCTAGAGTTAGCTGCGGGGTGGTGTCTGTGTGGGGCCCGTGGGTGTCTGTGTGGGGCCCGTGGGTGTCTGTGTGCGCACGTGTACGTGCGATATTTGCATGTTATGAGAGAAGATTATCGTGGACATGTGCGCCCATCACGCGCGCGCGCGTGTGTGTGTGTGTGTGTGTTTTGCGCGGTCCGCAGGAGGCCCGGACGTTTCCCCGCGATATCGTTTTCTCCCGGGGAAGCCGCGCGGTGCACTCCATCGCTGTCTGCAGCGGCCGCCACAACGGCCTGCCTCTGCTGGGGGCGTACTGCGTGTACGGTGCCGTACTACCGCGGCAGCTGCTGCGCGCTGTCACATTGGAAGTGGAGCAGTTGCTCAAGGTATGACAGTAGTCCCCAACTCCCAACCACAGCCCTCCTGCTGTTGCCATGCCGCGGCTCTGCCACCACTACAACTACACTACCACTACACCACCACTACACTACCACTACACCACCACTACACTACCACTACACCACCACTACACCACCACTACACTACCCCTGCACTACCCCTGCACTACCACTACACTACCACTACCCTGTCGGCCGTCGTTAACTTCAGTTCCCCCGCGGCTATAGTGCAGGCACGGGTGGCGCACTGGCGCACTGGCAGCGATGCCCCGATTCACTTAGCGCTATGCACATTCACATTGTAGACATGAAATGAAGTAAGAGCGATGTCCCCAGCGATGTCCCTGTCAGTCAGTTAGTAACCCGGCCCAGCTGCTGTCCCCCTCCGTGCACGCCCGTCTGTGTTCCGCTGCCCTGGTGGACGAGTGGGTGTACCTCCATGAGGAGCTGCTCAACCCAGCGCGAGTCGACCCCCTCCTCCGTCGCCAGAACCGCCTCTCCGCCTCCATGGCCCCCGAGGTCTCCGTCGCGCTGGGAGTCGAAGGATCGCCCATCCGGGCACCCGGCTCGCCGCGGTCGCAACTGGCCCAGCAGCTGGCAGGCGGTGGCGGCGGGCCGCCGCCGCCGCCGCAACCTGTGCAGCTGCTGCCAATGCCGGTGTCCGTGGCGACGACGGGGATGAGAGCGAACGAGCAGCTGTACGAGCGGTGCACGTCGGTCATGGGCGTGCCGCGGACGATGGCTGCTGCTGCCGCCGCCGCCGCTGGCGCCGCCGACGGCGTGCCGCTGCCGTCCAGCATGTTGTTGTCGACGGCGACGCGGTTTAGCGACGCGACGGAAGGGGAGTCGGCGTCGGCGGGCCCAGCGCAAGACCAAGCCGTTGACTCCGTGCCAGCTCTGACGCCGGGACAGGGATTCGCGCCGGGGCTGGCCCCGCCTGCGCGGGCGGCAGGCGGCCCCCGGCCCGCAATCCTGACCTCCCTCCGCGCCATGGGCTTAATGGCCAAGTCCTCTTCCGGAACCTCCTGTGATGTCTTCTTACCCCCCAGCCTAGTTGACGGCGTGATGCAGTCAGCGACGGCAGCGACACCCGCGCCGCTGCATGCCGGCACCGTCACTCCCATACGACCCTGCTCAACTGGCAGCCCAGGTGCCCCCAGCGCCTTTGTGTTCGTGTCGTCGCTGCTGGGCTCGCCGGCAGGGGAGATGACGGGGACGGCGACGGCGACGGCGACGGCAGTGACGTTGTCGTGCCAAGACTCGTCCATACACAACACGGCAGTGGCGCTCAGAACGCAGGGCAGCGGCGTCGCAGCTGGCGGTGGCAGCTTATGTCGTACAACAGGCAGCATGATGCGTACGATGCTAGCGGCGCCGTCGTTCACGGTGGAGAGTGTACGGAGCTCCCTGGGAGGGGGGCTGCGACGGGCGCCGCTGGTTTCGGGGCTGCATGAGCGGCTGGCGGCGGCGCAGGCGTCGCGGCTTGTGCACGGCAGTGCGATTGAGCACCAGGAGGAGTTGGCGGCGATAGAAGTCCTCGAGAAGGCAAGCAGAGTGTGCGGGGAGCGCGGGGCCGTGTGGGCCTTCATGAAGCTGTAGGGAAGGCTTCTAGGACGGCATGGACTCGCGTACAGAGAGACTGTATGTATGTGTGTGTATATATATGTATATGTATATACATATATATACACAATATATGCATATACATATATATATATGTTTTTGTGTATATATGTTACACATATATATTTGTGTGTGTGTGTCGGATACGTACTGCTGTTTCCCAGCAATACCCACCCTTTCCCCAACACACACATGCATACACACATACACACATTCTACCATCGGCTTGCAGATTGGGGAAGGCGGGTACGGGGAGGTCTATCGTGGGCAGTACGACGGTACGGAAGTTGCAATCAAGATTGTGTACGAGCCTCATGGCACCGCATCGGGGTCGATGCCCCGACATGCCAAGGCCAATCTTCAGCAGCTACAGCTACAGGTGGGGTTTTGCCACTGCTGCTGCTGCTATTGCTGCTACCTACTACTACTACTACTACTACTGCTGCTGTTACTGTTGCTACTATTGTTGATGCTGCTACTTTTGTTGGGGCGTTCGCTCATGTTACAGCTTCCTTTCAACTGCTCCTGCTCCTAGCTATATTGCTGCTGCTCCTGGTCCTGCTGTTGCTGCTGCTCCTGGTCCTGCCGTTGCTGCTGCTCCTGCTACTGCTGTTGCTGCTGCTCCTGCTACTGCTGTTGCTGCTGCTCCTGCTCCTGCCGTTGCTGCTGCTCCTGCGACTGCTGTTGCTGCTGCTCCTGCTACTGCTGTTGCTGCTGCTCCTGCTCCTGCCGTTGCTGCTGCTCCTGCTACTGCTGTTGCTGCTGCTCCTGCTCCTGCTGTTGCTGCTGCTCCTGCTCCTGCCGTTGCTGCTGCTCCTGCTACTGCTGTTGCTGCTGCTCCTGCGACTGCTGTTGCTGCTGCTCCTGCTACTGCTGTTGCTGCTGCTCCTGCTCCTGCCGTTGCTGCTGCTCCTGCTACTGCTGTTGCTGCTGCTCCTGCTACTGCCGTTGCTGCTGCTCCTGCTACTGCTGTTGCTGCTGCTCCTGCTCCTGCTGTTGCTGCTGCTCCTGCTACTGCCGTTGCTGCTGCTCCTGCTCCTGCTGCTGCTCCTGCTACTGCTGTTGCTGCTGCTCCTGCTCCTGCTGTTGCTGCTGCTCCTGCGCCCTGCCGTTGCTGCTGTTACTGCTACTGCTGTTGCTGCTGCTCCTGCTACTGCCGTTGCTGCTGCTCCTGGTCCTGCCGTTGCTGCTGCTCCTGCGACTGCTGTTGCTGCTGCTCCTGCTACTGCTGTTGCTGCTGCTCCTGCTACTGCTGTTGCTGCTGCTCCTGCTGTTGCTGCTGCTCCTGCTCCTGCTGTTGCTGCTGCTCCTACTGCTGCTGCTGCTGCTCCTGCTGTTGCTGCTGCTCCTGCTACTGCTGTTGCTGCTGCTCCTGCTCCTGCTGTTGCTGCTGCTCCTGCTCCTGCTGTTGCTGCTGCTCCTGCTCCTGCTGTTGCTGCTGCTCCTGCTCCTGCTGTTGCTGCTGCTCCTGCTCCTGCTGTTGCTGCTGCTCCTGCTACTGCCGTTGCTGCTGCTCCTGCTCCTGCTGTTGCTGCTGCTCCTGCTCCTGCTGTTGCTGCTGCTCCTGCTCCTGCTGTTGCTGCTGCTCCTGCTCCTGCTGTTGCTGCTGCTCCTGGTCCTGCTGTTGCTGCTGCTCCTGCTACTGCCGTTGCTGCTGCTCCTGCTACTGCTGTTGCTGCTGCTCCTGCTCCTGCTGTTGCTGCTGCTCCTGCTCCTGCCGTTGCTGCTGCTCCTGCTACTGCTGTTGCTGCTGCTCCTGCG